AAACAAATTAATATTGAGTGTACAAATTTTGTTGACATGATGGAACAACCCACGTGCTAAAGTGAGAAATCTGGTTGGGCCCCCTCCTCCAAAATGTAATTAAAAGGGCCCACAGAACTTGAGTGTAGTCTTATCTTCTAAAGTGCTATATGTTGAATTAAAAAATGAAGTTCTACATCACTCTTCTTCTTCCCTGTGCTTCTTCTTCTGCGCAACAACGGTTTTTTGCCCTTTTCTACCATACAATTCTATTAAAGCTGTTATAACTTATCTTTAGCCGAAAAAATTCAGCCTGGGCAACTGCCCAGGCTCGCCTATATGTAAATCCGCCCCTGTGTATTTCGGTCGGATATAGAGGTGCTCATTATTTGGGCTTTTTGTTAGCTTATTTAGTATCATTATTAGTAACTAGGCTATGAGGCCCAATTTATTGGTGCCAAGTGGATCCACAACTAGTTTTTATTATTTTTTTTTTTTTTTTTCAAAACGATAGGAATCACATATATATTTATAACACAAACAAAACTAGAGAATAACTACTCAACTGAATAAAACAGTCAACGGCTGAATAAGCTGAACAACTGACTCTAGCAGAGAGGACTATACGTACAGACAGACAGACGTCAGCCTAGAGCCAACTAACAACACACAACAAAAAAAATCACAAAAGTAGAATAAAACAAAAATCTCTCAACAGGAGAATACACCAAACACACTCTAAACAGGAGAGAAAAAGCGAAAACACAATCAAAACAAAACAGAAAAGCTAAAATACAAACTAAGGCCTACACTAACTAGAACCACGCCCTTCCCACAGCCGGCACACACGCAAAAAATCACCCAACGGCAGCTGACCACCCCAATGACTAGACCTAGCTCAGAGATGCCACTCCAAAAACGGCCAATAACGCCTAATTGGAACAACAATCTGAAAACTCGGCCCAACACCCAGGTGGATGACCCCAACCCCGACCCCGAAGCCCGGAGAACTCCGACCCAACTCCCCCCACACCACAGTCGTCCAAAGCCCGACCACACCACGGTCAGGAACAGAGGACGCCATCCACCTCTTTAACCCAAACACCAGGGAAAAGTGGCATAGGAGAGAAAGAGACGGAACCTCCACCCCGACCACCACCATTAGCGATCAGAGTCACGGCCACTCCTCGAGAAGCACCACTGTCGGACCTCGACGCGACACCAAAGGCACAATCCAGTACGACAGCCAGATCTACGCTGAATCCGTTTGGATCACTGTTTTGTATGTTTTTGTTGTTATTTTGTGAGTTTTTATGTGTTTTATTTGTGTTCATTTTATTTCATTTTAGGTTTTTCCATGTCTATTTAGTTGTATTTGCTCGTTTTTGTGTTCTCGTTTCATTTTGGTGCCTTGTGCTTTTTATTTCTCTTTTTACCTTTTATTTTGTAGTGAAAGTGTGTTCCGGAAAGTCGGCAATAAATTTACTAAAAAATGTCGGAAAGTCACCCGAGATGATGAGAAAAATATTTGAGGAACGTGGGTCAAAATTTCAAGTCAATCGGAGAAGCGTGCGAGAAGTTAGAGCGAATCGAGCTGAAGCCACTTCCAGCGCCTGGGATTCGCGCCCGCGAAAATCGTTTCGAGGGTTGTCCAGAACTCGCGAGTTCCTCATTGCCAGCGAATTTGCTCGCGAAAATCCCACCTTAGCTGCGAGTTCAGCTTACCTTGCGAGTTTTTATCATTAAATGTATGTATTTTAGTGTGTATTTGTGGTGTAACTATAAATAGACATTGTGCTTTGTAATTTTGAACAATCCCCTCATTTCTCAATTTTTAAGTTGGGAAATCCTCTCTATTTTCTCTCTTTTATTTTTTTTATGTTTCGGTTGGAGACTCATGACTCGATTTTTCCGGCGAAATTTTGGCAACTTTATTTTCAATCAAGATTCGAGTTTTACGCACTATTTTCGTCTACGCATGCGATACGAGAGTAAGTACCATGCTTAGGGCTTACTACTTCGAGTTTGTTTTCAAATTTTTGTGTTGATGCTCGATTTTTGGTCTTGTTATATTTTCATCGCTTGTTTTCGTTTGTTAAGATTCGATACGTGTTTATCTAGAAAGGTCTCGACTTTGTTCAAAGCGTAGTGATTTAGTGTAGAAAGCTTGTGTAGAATACCTAGGATCACTATGCTCGCATGTTTTCTCTTATTTATTTTTCTTTTTCTTGAGTAATGGAGATTTCTGTAGACCAAAGTTTCGATGTTTCTCTCTATATTTGCATTTTCCATCATTTGCTCTAGATTCTTAGTTTAATTTCATGTAAATCCAATTCCTTCAAGCAAGTAGAATGTGTCGGACCCAATTTCGGTTATGTGACTTTGACGACTAGGTAGTGAACGAAGCTCCGAACAACCTTCCTTTGAGAACGACCCGAGTCGGGTAGCTCGGTACCACATGCCCAAAAGTACTACAAATGAAAGTTTGTGATATGATTGGAAAACTCGACCATATTTCCATCAACCTTGTTGCCATTCAATTGTAGTTGGTCAACCTCAACAGATGAAGTTTTCATGAGGAAAACTCTATTTTAGAGAAACTTCAGTCCACTCAACTACACGAGTTCCACACAGGGAGTTCTTCTCATAACAAAAGGAAGTTTCAAGAGCACCAAAATACACAAATATTATCACCAATCCTTAAGCTAGAATTTCTAAGATTTGATAGGTCACGACATAGGGCTTGGATGTTAAAATGCAAAGGGTATTTCAACTTAATTTCCAACATCCCACATTGGAAAAAAAATCACCCTAACATCCCTACACTTTGAAGGTAAAGTTACATAGTGGTTTCAAAATTTATCAAATGAATGGAGCTAGAAGTGGTGGGGGAGGATAAAGAAAAATCTAACTCAAACAAGGTAATTGGCCAACCTTTAGGGAAGTGGAAGAGGACTTCAACGAATGAAGGCAAATTTCAGAGAGAGAGAATTAAGGGGCTTTTTACACCTAACCAGATATGTATTAAAACATCATGACAAAAAGGAAAGATCAAATCTAAGGAGAAGGAAACTCCAGGCTTCGCTCTTAAGAAAACCAAACTGAACTCTTACGTGGTGGAGGTGGTCAGCCAAGAGCGGCCCCTGGGTGACCAATGAGAGCCATTGTGTGAAACTGTAGAGGGTTGGTTGGACCCTTTACAGTTTCTCAAATCAGAGAGACATTGAGGTCTCACCATCCGAATTTTATCTTTCTGTCGGAAACAAAAAATCTAAATAATTTATCAATATTGTTTGCAATAAGTTAAGGTTTGAGGGTGGATTCTGGTTAGAGGAGCCTAAATGGATTAGTGGAGGGCTTCTACTCCTCTGGGACATGAAATTTGAGTTCAAACAAATTATTGAGAGGGATTTTCGCTTGGAATTGGAGTTTCAAAATCAAGTTGATGAAGGCTATAGCTTGGGGCTTTTTGTTTATATGAGTACTAACAAGGCTACAAGAGGTCAATGGGTTAACTGAAACTTGAAAAAGTCATGTGGGGTAACTCATGGCTCATCATAGGGGACTGATCTGGAATGATATTAGAAGCTATGAGAAGTAGAGGGAAGGGAGAACTAGACAAGAGAGGAGTTTTTTTGGTTTTCAACAGTTTATATC